CCTTGTGGTAAGATTAAGCATTCCTTGGGTAGTATTTTTATTTTTTCATTGGAATTTGGTGCATCTGGAGTTAGTTTATTAGTTGAATTATATATTATTTCTCTAAATGTTCTAAAGACACTTTTTTTCTTTTATAGAGGGGTTTTACAATATTGAGTAATAGGCTACTTTATAGCAATGTTGGGATACCAATTTCATCTATTTGTATGTTATTTGGGACTACAGCCATTCTATTCCAGGTCTTGTTTGTCAGTTGGGCAAATGCATTCAGCAAGTTCTGGGAGCTTGGAACAAGTTTCTTCTGCTAAAGTAGCTTTGTCCTGGGTCTCAAGGTTGTATAAGGTAAGTGGAGAAGCTTAGGCAAGCAGTTGGCAGGACTTTGTGGCTCCTGGTTACTTGAGGTAGGTGGAGATTCGTGGTTCAAAAGGTGTTGGAATCTGTAGGTCCCAAAGAGAAGAAGGGCCAAATGGAGGTGGTAGTTTCTGGAAGGCAGCTATGGATCTTAGGTGACTTGAATGGAAGAAAGGAAGAAGGGGAGAGAAAGGCATTGAAAGCTGCAAGAGAGAATGATCAAGTCAGTTACAAAGGCTGTCCCATTCTATGAACACATGATTATTTGACAGAAGCCTTTAAAACCACAAAGGTTGTGAAAGATGTATTCAAAATCGTGAAAGACTACAATTGTCAGCTCAGTGTTATACCCAGCAAAACTACACATGATAAAAACAGATTAAAGGATTTTGTGATCACTAAGATCATTTACAGAGGATATAAAGTCAATACTTCAGTTTTAAAGAAGGATAAACTTGCCTAAGTGATTATAGTTAAGAAGTAAAAAATCCTAGGCTTAAAAATGAAAGAGCTGAGAAAATATCTCACTGGGATATTTTATGGGAGAAAATATAGACTTGAAGTTCTTGCAGACTTGCAATACCTGATATATTGATTTCTTTAGGTTCATTCTCATAGGCTGAGACCCAAAGTTCCCTTAATAAGAAGGGGAGACAGAATGTTTCAAAAAATGAACAATTTTCCACCTTTCAACGATAATTGGTCCTTCAAAAATATGATTACATCAGATGGTTATTACACAATAAATATACACATCTGTGCATCTTTTCACACTTATGAATAAGAAAGGAGAAATTAGACATATATATTACATTGCAGGAGGTTGGCCTTATCTTTTTGCAAGCTAAGTTGAAAATGGACAACTTTCAGGCCAAAGGCCTTTGTGTCCCAGAAGAGATGATCTATACATAATCACATGATGATATTTGCTCACTAGCTCTGATGACAAGTGGTTACAAGGATAACACTGTAAACATAGAAATTGTTCTTTTTTGAAAAGTAACAATTTCTTTCATATAGAAAGAGTCACTCAGTTAGTAATGGCTTGAGATTAAAGAATTTAATGAATGGAATAAAATCACTATGGCTTCATCTCACAGAGATTCAGGACTCAAAAAATTCCACTCCTTCCCAACTATAGAACCCTGATTGGCTGTCTATTCAAGAATTGCAATGTCAACTACAGCAGTTACTGCAGTTCTAAGTTTTCTTCCTCAGAAACTCTGTGCTTCTTGGGTGGAATCTCTCTCACTATCAGAATAATGCTGTGCTCTGCAAACTGCAACTGGCTAAGGAGACTGGGTTGTCTCCCTTCTTTAGGCTGATTTGCACTTACCTCACCTAAGCATATTATAACATGTAACAGTTACTAAGCATCTCATTTTGGATTTTTTTCTTTCACATTATGGGTTTTTCATGTCCCTTGACATTTAACTATTTCTTTCTTTGAAATATCCAAGCTTTTATACTCTAGGGATTATTCAGGGAAGGAACCTATCCAGGAGAGATTTCTCCATTTTGAATTTGCTCCAAGTATTTTAACAAACTAATTTGTGGTGATCTTAAAGTTTTTTCTGTTGGAAATAGAGATGATGCAAAGCAGTGTCTGTCTGTAAAAAAAAAAAAAATTGTCTACACCCACAAGTAGATGCCTCAGGAGATTTCTGAAAAGTCAATTATGCTCAAGCTGGAGATGGTGTCTTTAGCGGTGTTTGGTTCTTGAGATGTCAGATTTTCTATAAATGTCTATCACTGCTATAAGAAAACTGTAGAAAGTACCAACTGCATTGGGTGATATGGTTGAGATATAGAGTAATGTTTTTACATAGAAAATAAGAGAAGTCCTCAGAATTACGAGGGAATAAAAGACGGAAGAAGTTTCTCTCAATTTGTAAGAATAATTTATCTTCAGCTTTGCTATGTGATTAATCTGGTTTTCCATTGTTAGATAAAATTTTTAATAGTTAAGCCCATGGAAATTATTGTAAATCATGAAAGTAAGATCCATTATGTTGATTCACCAAAATAAAAAAAAGGAGAATATTCATGTAACTATCATTACTTCATATCTTCTTTTTGGTTCCTGTTGTTCATTTATAATATCAAAAATGGGTTTGGGAAATTAATTTAACTTATTTGGTCAATTTTATACATAGTTGTCCAAATATAACAACTTTGCCTTTTCTTTGATATTTTCATAGAAACGAAAATATATTCAGCTACCTTTATACAAGTATTGTTATTATATTTAGATATCTTTATATCTGTAATCACAAGTTCACTCATATGTTTATACTCAGCAATGGTCCTTGTTAAAATAGGTCCTAACTTTTTCCTCAAGAGCAAATGCAAGCTCTGAAATCATAAACTGGGAGTTCAAAACGATTGTTCCTTTTGTGTTTTGAAGTATGTGGATTTTTTTAAAAAAGTTCCCATTGTCATATGAGAGCCATACAAATAGGGAAAATAAAGTTGACAAATATAGAAATTAGTTGGGACATATATAGGATATTTGTTTTTAGTTTCATAATCTCAGTGTTTATTTTCCATATATATGAAAGGTTTTATATTTTACATGCATAACAATAAATAGAAACTAAATTTTTATTGGTATTATAGATTATATTTTATACAATATTGAACAGAGATAAAATATTTTTGATGTCTAAATTACAATTACATATTTTATCTATTAGAGTATAAGGGAAATATCTTTTTTTCTTGAGGGCTAATATTAAATTTTGTGTGTGAATCTTAAAACGATGGCAGACAATGTGTTGGTGTATTCCAAAATCAAAGCTTGTGGTCAGATTGCCCCTCATAAACTATCACCTAGGTGTGTATTACTCCTATGTTAAGGTTCTACCATGTTCTTAAACACAGTATTAAATTATTTTTAGAAAAGTTTTAATGGCCAATGTTTAAAATACAATCATACTACTCTACCATTTGATAATACTAATATTTTACATTTTTATGCTAAAATTTAAATAATTTGTTTTGATTATGATGTGAAAATTATTAAGCAGGACTTAGGATATTTGACCTAGTGAAATTCAGTCCTGGTAATTAATGAAAGTGAAGGAGCAAAACCTGTCAGGAAGTATGATATATAAGGATGAGTACTGGACACAGTACTTCCCTCTTATGTCACTTAGCAACTGAACTGTTTTCTGCTTGTAGCTTCTACAACTCCAGGTCAGAATGACAATGATACATACAGGCGCATCAGATCTGCCTTCTCAAGAAAACCTCAAATGCCCCTTCACTATAAAAACCATTCAAACAGCATCATCTTATTTGCTTGTTTCTAGACAAAATCTACCCTTTCACAGGTAAATAAATAATCTCCGTACTTATCAGTGGTAAAGTGCATATTTCTTGGGACATATAAGTTAATATCAAAAGTGTAATATTATTTATACCTCAGGCTGAAGGCAATAGTTTTTCTGTTGAAATCAATTGTGATGGTTCATTTGTTCTTGGTCATAGTGAAATACTCAAAATATTTTTTAACAACTATCACCTTTATGTTTACCAGGCTGCTTTCTACAGCTTACCTGTACCAACAGTAAGAACAAAGTAACCAGAGAAAGGAGATGATAAGTGTGGCCCCCTGGTAGAAATGAGAACGTAAGGCATTGACAAGATTCTTATGTGGTAAAAGTTCATCTTCACAGTAAGGAAAAGAATTTCAGATTAATAAATGAATCCACATGGCTTCACAACTCATATTATATACCACCAACCAAGTAATGTTTTTTCCCTTTAAGATGCTGCTTTCATGGATGTGGACACTGAATTTCTAACTGAGCACTTTCTGCCCTGGAAGATGATACTTAAAACCAATGATTAGTGTCCTCTAATCCAGTTCTCAGTTTCTGTTTCCTTCTGTCTTGTTACCTATGTCATTTAAGAAGAACAAAAATGCTAACTTCTGATGAAGTAGTTGCTGATACCATGGGATAGAAATTTCTGAGTTATTTGAATATTATTGTAAAATCAAGAAAGTGTAGTTAGAATTGTGGTTCCTGGAGATTCTCATAAAAATTAGTTGAAGTAATTGCTATAGAAAGAAATGTTCTAAATGCATTTGTACTTACTTGATGCAGTTTCAAGCCAAATATATTAAAATTATGTGGGATTTCCATGTAGATTGAAAGTATTTTGAGAAGTGCAGGCCACATGCCTAATGTTACAGTATCATGGCAATGAGCTTTATGGTCCCAAAAATCTTGAGTGTATTTTGAATATATTCTTACCAGATAAATCATTTTACAACATCGCTTCTATATTAATTTAGATAGTGAAGGTTTGTGATAACATAGAAGCCAGATTTCTTAAAAGTAGGAATTATTTTCTGTTGTTATTGAAAACTGTGATAATTTTGTGTGATAATGTATTTTAAATAATTCTAAGTGTATGAATGACTATAATACATAGAGTCAATGAAGTTATGAGAAACAAAGTACTACTTGATAAAACCATCATAGGGAAATAAAACACTCAAAAGGAAGTTTTATTTAGATTCTTGGAGAAACCTAAGACTTGTTTACTAAATTCATACTGCAATTTATCACTGTAGAAGACAATGATGAACATGTTCTCCTTGTCATCATGAAGTCATGTACTTAAATTCCCAACAGGTCCTGTTCTTAGGAGCTGCCATCTCTGATACAAGCCTGCTGAAAAGACCAATGGGGAAGAGCAACAATTTCACAGAATTTGTTCTCCTGGGCCTCACTCAGGATCCTGCTGGGAGAAAAGCATTGTTTGTCATATTCTTACTCATCTACATTGTGACAATGGTGGGCAACATACTCATTGTGGTGACAGTCATTACCAGCCCCTCCTTGGGCTCCCCAATGTACTTTTTCCTTGCCTCTCTATCACTCTTGGATAGTCTTTTCTCCACTGCCATCTCACCCAAGTTGATTATTGACTTACTCTGGGATCAAAAGACCATCTCCTTCACAGCTTGCATGAGCCAGCTCTTTATAGAGCATTTATTTGGTGGTGTTGATATTGTCATTCTGGTGGCAATGGCCTATGATCGCTATGTGGCAATTTGTAAGCCACTGCATTATTTGACCATCATGAATCGTAGGGTTTGCATCACTTTGTTGATATTTGCCTGGACTGGAGGTTTTACACACTCTCTGATTCAAATTGTCTTTGTATACAACCTTCCTTTCTGCGGCCCTAATGTCATTGATCATTTTATTTGTGACATGTCCCCCTTACTGGTACTTGCATGCACAGACACTTACTTCATTGGCCTCACTGTCATTGCTAATGGTGGAGCCATGTGCATTGTGATCTTCATCCTCCTCCTAGGCTCCTATGGAATCATCCTAAGATCTCTTAAGGCTCACAGTCAGGAAGGAAGGCGCAAAGCCCTGTCCACATGCAGCTCCCACATCTTGGTGGTTGTTCTCTTTTTTGTTCCATGTATTTTTATGTATGCCAGACCAGTTTACAACTTTCCTATTGATAAATGCATTACTGTTTTTTATACGATTATCACTCCCATGTTGAACCCTTTAATATACACCTTGAGAAATTCAGAGATGAAAAGTTCTATGGTAAAGCTTTGGTGTAAAATGTTACCTGCAGATTAAACTGGAAAGCCTCCTAGGTGAAATTACTTTTGATATTTGAATAAAATCAGTTATGGAAAATTATAAAAAAGGATGATGATACCATCTATTGGTTGTATTTATCTAGAGTACTTTTCTTTATGCAAAGCCTTTGAAAATGAAAGTTTTCCTCTGAGATGGAAACTGGTATCACATTATTTCAGTATTATAAATAAAGGGCATGTGACTTTTGTAGCCATAAGTTTTCCTGTGTTCTACATGTCCCACAGTCAGGACAATATTTCCCACTCACATCCCATAGCTGCTTGGTTCCAAACAAACACACAGAGGCTTATATTATTTTCAAACTATATGGCCATGGCCTTTGGCTCAAGCTTCCTGCTGGATAGCTCTTATAACTAAACTTAGCCCATTTCCATTAGTCTATATGTTGCCATGTGTTCCATGGCTTTACTTGTGTGCTATTACATGCTGCTCCCTGGATGGTGGGATGGCATCTCCCCTGGCTCTCCTTCCTCATTTCACTATCCCCCTTGGATTTGCCAGCCTAGCTCCATCCTGCCTTTCCATAGGCCAAAGGGCTTTATTTAAAACCAACCATAGCAACACATACTCACAACATACAGAAATGCATGCCACAGCAGTTTTTGTTCCATTTCAAAACAAAACTATGTTCCCTGTGAATATAATTGTTCTCTTTTGAAATTGAAATGGAAGTTATTATAAGGGGATTCATTTTTATAAATTGAGAAGACAATATTGTATGTTTATGATCACTCACATTAGTCTTTCCAGATGTTTCTAAAATTATGACTAGTAGACACATTCCTGGGACTAAAATATGGATGAAGTTAGAAATCATTCATTAATTCATATGAATGGTAGATTTGTGTAACTATAACATGCCATTGCTTTACAATGACTCACATTCCTCATATCAGTGTTTCTGTTCTTCCAGTTCAGGTTTTTGGATTGAGGGTTATGCTGTGCCTGATTTAGGACACTTCTAATGAATAGTTTGTTAGATGACATTCATCTGGTGATAAAACTAGATTCTAGTTTGTGAAGGCTACACTAAAATTGTTATAAGTAATTTTTACAACCTTCTTAACTATTTAACACATTCTATTATACTAGTTTTTAAAGAACTTTCTCAAGATGTCTTAATGATGGTGAAATAATTCACAAAGTATTATAGAAGAAACGTGTCCCCAAATATGTATTAAACTTTAATATTTTACTTATAAACTTACAAATAATTTATTTTCATATATTCATTTCCCCCATACATTCAAAACATTCCTGAATTTTTCTTAGTAATTATTATATAATAATGGAGCAGTAGTGATTGTTTTCATTGTAATATGGGACCATCATGCTTTGGAGGAGTCTGGATTCTTGTTTTACTTCACATGCTTGTTTGAAATATATATATATATATTGGTTTTTGAGACAGGGTTTCCCTATGTAGCTTTGCGCCTTTCCTGGAACTCACTTGGTAGCCCAGGCTCGCCTCGAACTCACAGAGATCCGCCTGCCACTGCCTCCCGAGTGCTGGGAATAAAGGCATGTGCCACCACCGGCCGGCCGAAATATATTTTATTGTCTATATGTAATACATCCTTTGTGGTGCTATGGGACTCTAATCTCTAATAAAGAGGCTTCATAGGTGGACAAATTAGCTCATTACCTGCCTTAGTTTTCCTTTGGTTGCAAGGCCAAGGACTCTAATATGAACTTGTTAGAATCTATCAAATATAGAACAATTTTATCACCTATAGTCCTCAGTTCATTAGTTAGAACAGCTAATACAAATTAAAAAGATTAGAGCACTAATATGTGATGAGATTCATTTACTTTTCATTAAAATTTTGTTTAAAAGTTTTTAAACAATATGTTCAATTTCCTCTCCCCTAACACCTTCTGGATATTTACCACCTTCCTACATATTCAACTTCATGTTCTGTCTTTCTCACTCAAAAAGAAAGAATAAAATAGAAACAAATGAAACAAGAAAGTCTACTAAGACAAAAAAATATCAAGCCAAACAAAATCAAAACATTAAAACAGAATCCTTTGGTGTTGGTCAACTTCTCCTGGGCCTGAAGCCTGACCTGTGATGTGGTTATACACTCTGTGAAATCTTATTTGAACAACAGATATTCCCTCTTTCAGCCAGGAGGTATCAATTGCAAATATCTCCTTGGTTAGGAATGGAACTTTGTGTCCACTTCCTACTTATGTGTTGGGATTTTGTCTGATTTGAATTTGTGAAGGTCTCAGATGTTCTGTCCCAGACCCTGTGTGTTCATATATGTATCATACTTGCTGTGTCTGGAAAATACTGTTTTCCTTTTGGCTTTTTCAGCCATCCACATTGTTATTTGACTTACTTCCCTCCTCTGTATTTATCTTCCTAGGAATCCTCTCCCTTCCCCATTTCCCCTATTAGATCACCTGCTATTCCCTTCACCCACTTCCACCTGTTTCCCATGGAAACAAAGGCAAAAGATCTTTCCCAATGTAACACATAGCCTAGATTCTGTTCTGAGGTCAACACATCTTTAAAATATACAGGCTGATTTAATTCAGCGGGTTTTCTTTTCTACTGTCCATTCTCTCTATAGCTGTCGCTACTTTCTCATAAGTGTTTAAAAATTTAAAGTTAATAAAGCACTGTGTAATCTATCTCTATTACTCCTTCCTGCTTATTTAGCGTGTCTTTTAAAGTGTGATTAGGTCTTTCTATAATTGCTTCTCCTGTATAATTGTGTGGTATACCTGTAATATGCTTTATGTTGTAATATGCAAACAAAACAAAAAAAACAACCCCGTCTCTTTTTAATGGGGACATATACTGGAGCATTGTGAAGCTTAATTTGTACAGGTATTACTATAATTGCTTTAACTTCCAATAAATGTATAATTTCAGAATCAATCTTTCTAGAACTTAAAGCAGTTGTCCATTGAAATATTGAATATATATCTATAGTATGGTACACATGCTTTAATTTTCCAAACTCTGTAAAATGAAACACATCCATTTGCTAAATTTCATTTCTTTGTGTACCCTTTGTATAGCTGGAGAGCTTCTCTCCAGGTCCCACCAAGCCCCCGCAGTCCCACAACCCACATATGAAATAATCACTCAGACGCTTATATTACTTATAAACTGTATGGCCGTGGCAGGCTTCTTGTTATCTACTTTTTCTATCTTAAACTAACCCATTTCAATAAATCTATACCTTGCCACGTGACTCATGGCTTACCAGCATCTTCACATGCTGCTTGTCATGGCAGCAGCTGGCAGTGTCTCCCTGTCTCAGCCTTCCACTTCCCAGAATTCTCCTCTCTCCTTGTCCTACCTATACTTCTTGCCTGGCTACTGGCCAATCAGTGTTTTATTTATACAGAGCAATATCCACAGCACCCTTTGGGTTATTTCATGCAGGTAATGGAATTTGATTGTAGAGACCAAGTAGGACATTTCCTTGGCTTACTACCAAGTGATAGAAAAATCTTTTTTAAAAGCTTTGCTCTTAATGTGGTGTTTATTATGAAATTCTAAGGCTTCTAGCACATTTCCTACCAATAGATGATCAATTTCATCAATACCTTATGCTGGAGGATCTAGTAGACCTGTATAGGATTTGACATGTTATATATAAGGGATGATTTCTATTTCAGACTATTTCTTGTAATTGAATAAATAACAAAGTTAATTCTGAATAATCTGGAATAAGTTCAACAGTTTCAATGTATAAAACAACTCTTTCTGCATATTGAGAGTCAGTAACTATATTAAGAGGTTCTAGAAAATTTAATAATACCATGAGAATAGCATATAATTCTGATTTTTGAACCGAATAATAAGAACTTTGAGCCACTTTACATATTTTTCCTGACATATACCCTACCTTTCCTGATTTATTTGCATCAGTATAGAATGCAGGGGTTTCGGTGCCACTCATACAATGTGAAGGAACATCCAATTAGTTCTTTTTATGAACTGAAGTCTCTAGCTTTTGGGATATTTGTTGCTAATCTCTCCCAAGAAATTATTACAAGCTTTTTGCCAGTGTTCATTTATCTGCCCAGAATGAGGAAATTTCAACATTTGTAAAAGGTACCACAATTTCAACTAGGTCTATTCCTGCTAACTGATGAAGTCTCATTTTTTCTTTCAGAATCAATCCAGAAAACTTTTCTTCATAGGTCTTTAATTTTTTATCCTATTTGTGTGTTAAAAATGCCATTCCAAGATATTATCTTCTCTTTGCATAAGAATTCCTGTAGGAGAATGAACAGAAGCTAGTAATGGTAGGATGCAATCAACCTCTAGATCTAAGTGATTCACAGGTGCATCTTGTAAGTTCTTTTCTACCAAAGCCAGTTCTGTTTCAGCCTCAGCTGATAATTTTCTTGAAATATTCAAGTCCTTATTACCTTGTAAGGTTTGAAATAAAATTACTTAGCTCTTGAGTTAGTAACCCAATTGTGGGCCATAGTCAGTTAATATTTCCCAGAAATTTTTGAAAATCATTCAGAGTTTGTAATTGGTCTCTCCTGATTTATACTTTCTGTGGTTGAATTTTCTGTAAACCTGTTTTAAATCCTAAATAATTAATAGAATTTCCTCTTTGTATTTTTTCAGAGCAATTGTAATCCCCAACAAGGCAAAATTCTATTTACTTCATCAAAGATTTTTTAAAGTATCTGTGTCTGAATCAACCAGTAAAATATCACCCATATAATGGTAAGTTATAGACTGAGGAAACTGTTTACAAATTATTTGTAATGGCTGTTATACAAAATATTAACACAAGGTGGGGCTGTTTAATATTCCTTGTGGAAGAATTTTCCAGTGATACTGTTTAACAGGTTGGGAACTATTAAAAGCAGGCACTGCAAAAAGAATTGTCTCTATCCTGATATTGTAAAGGTATAGAAAAAAAGCTGTCTTTTAAACCAATTGCTATAATAGACTATCATTTAGCTAACAAAGAAGGCAAGGGAATTCCAAGCTGTAAAGAGCCCATTGGCTGGATCACCTTATTTACAGCTCTCTGGTCGGGACCCATTCTCCACTCTCCAGATTTCCTTTTAAT